ACACATACCGATCTTGGCGCGCATTTTGGAAAACTTCACCATGTTCATGTGTATAACAAGCAAGACTTTGTGGCTATATAAAACCAGGTGGAGCTGTCGGCACGGGCTGAACTAGACCAGAGACTCTCCAGCCTTGTTTGGGCATCAGCCTGATCTTAACCTTCTTCGACCTTCTATTCAAGGTGCGCGTCGATATTGCCTGTGTCTTGAATTCCTGTTGAAGGTCTTTGGGCAAGCTGTATACCAGCGTCGGCATGGCCGAAGTCTTCCAATTGCCGATATCATGGTATGTGTGTTGTGAAGTCTTGATCATTGTAGCCACCAAGAACGCGATACTTAGGCAAAGCAGAAGCAGGGGAAACGTAAGCCAACCCCAATGAACGACCACATAAGTCTCTGGAGAGGAGGCGCTTCCAACGATGAGCTCATTACTGTCAGCATCAGACCTGACAGCATTCGTTAAAGCATGTGCTATCCTTTCCATATGGTAGGTGACGTTATTGGGAGCAAGCCATGGGTTGAAGCGAACTTCCCGAAACATGACCTGATCAATAAAGCTAGTTCTGATCTTCAGGTATGGCTGGGCCGATGGCTCGGTGACAGTAATCAGCGAAGGAAACACTTCGTCCAGAACAAAGATTGTTCTCATGAACGTCTCGTTTGAGACGCCATAAGTGGTCGTATGGTTGTTGTTGGTAAGTGGGGTTATCGTGATATTTGTATTAAACCCCAATAGCGTGTTGTCAAGCGACACCCGCTCGCTCCACCATGGGTATTCGATCTGTGTCGTGTTGGTGAAGGTCTCGACGACCTCCTCTTTGTAACCTCCTTGTGCGTATGAGGAGCGAAGTGTCTTGACACACCAGGATAAGACACATTCGTGAGCGACTGGGGGGGCTTTGCGATAGACGCTTTCGGAGGAGCCATCCGCTGCGCTTACAATTATCGCATCGATGATAGGATAGTTGATGTGCTTGAAGTTGATGGATCCCCCGTACAGCGGTGACCTGGAAGGGTTTGTGACGAGCGGTAGCGTGCGCATGAGAAGGGTCTCTCCGTAAGGTGAATCCGTGTTGTTTTCGACCCTGTACCCGGACATAAGAACAGGTAATGAACTCGTCGCGTTCAAGAAATAGCCACAGGCAGTACCTACACGATGACAATGTTAGCCTTAGTCAACTATGTCTTGCACAGTTTGGTCGTAGGCCTTGTTTGGTATGGCCGAGACTGACAGTCGATGATGAAAGGCTCATCTCACCATTGGGATATGTATCCTCCGTTCCAGGACCAGTTGAATTTCTAATCCAGTCCATCTTCATGGGAAGACAGTCATATCCAAGCAGGTATGAAACATCCTCGCAGGCACTGCAGACCCCCAAAGACTGATAGGCCGGCCACTCACATCTACTAGTTGGACACACTAATGGTATCTCAGCCTGAGGACCACCCTCAGTGAGAAACGGACGTGTTCCATTTTGATCATAAAAAAATGGATCCAGGGTCCTCTTGAGGTCTTGGTTCATCGTGGCTATGGGATCGTCGGCCCAGGTGCTGTCGTACGTAAGGGCGACGGAAGGGGTATATCGTACGGTCCGTGGGATTGAGCTGTTGCCCTGCAGCCTCCAACGCTCATCGAGGTCGGTAACCTGTTGGAAGAAAGTATCAATTGCAAGTAGCAGGACCGTCAACAGTGCACCTAGTGCGGCAAGTGATTTGCCCTTCGTTCGGCACAGGAGCATGAACGATCCCCATGCACCGCGCGATGCTTTGTCAAATATCTCGAAGTCGAATGCGTCTCTGGACTTCTTCCCGTGGAACCAGGTCCATTTCAGCTGCCCAATAGCCTCCGATATAGGTAGAATGAGTGCTGCCGAGGCGATTTTCGAAAGAACCGTGATTATCGTCAGGCCTGCGGGCCATTTGTTGTGGGCTTGATCGTGGAGATAGTAGAGTAATCCGATGATTGCGCCTGCACTCTCAGTCAACATATGTACATATCAGGCCGAGTTATGCCATCTCACCCATGCAGACAGCACTGGTCGCCACACTAATGATCTCGAACAGCCAGCGTTTGTAGACATTCTGCGAAGAACTATATTGCGCTAGCTTTCGCTCTATGCGCCCTGGGAAGTCGAGACGATGCATCTCGTGGACAGAAGCTCGATAGGATGGCGGAGGAGAGGTGTTGGGCCCTTGAACCGGAGATGACGAGTACGGACGCTGCCGTTGCACGAGTATAAGGGGTAGGAGTCCTCCGCGTGGTCGTGACATTATGCGAATGTTCCTTTGATGAGATTTGGAGCCCACATGAGCGGTCAGGAGGTGACGCTCCGAAAGCAGTGCTGAATTCCATCATTGTTAGCCACCTGTTGTATGTCAGTTCGATCAACAATCGAGCGCTTAACCGCCGAACGTTCTGCAGCTCGCGTAGAAAGCGCAACAGAGCTCTGAGCTCAGGCTCTAGAGCAGTTGGTGATCACCAGGTCTGCATGCGGGTGTGTTTAACGACTTGGGGTTGACGATGGGAAAGTCTCCTATACCCGCTCGGCATCATTGTTAGACCTGTCAGAGCGGGAGATTTAGCGCCCACAGCGGGTTTCGCGGCGATAAGGGACAATCGAATCATGGGGCAGAGATCGTGCCATCGTGGTAGCGCCGAGGCGTGGCATTCCCGCCGCTACTGCGTATTAAACCGTTGAGAGCCACATGGAATGGCAAACACAATGAGTAGTTAAGCGCTCGAGTTGAGCTGTCATCGTGGGGGGACGCTAGGCAGAGCGCAAGGCGGCCTGTTCGGGGCGAGAGGGTGGGGCCTGGAATTGGCGGCCCGATCTTGAGAAGCGAGCCCTGGAGTCGAAGCTACCCCAAAGAATTTGCACTACCTCGGCAGTACTACGACTGAAGCATATCTTCAAAATGATGATTATGTATCTATGACCTGATGATTCCAAACGATTGCGCTCCTATCTCCATGCCTACTCAGGTAGTATGCCGGTAATGTTATGAAGATGGGACGTGATTTTGGTGTTAAAGCGAAACCGCACTGCGCCTGAGCAGCTGGCAGAAACATCAGGGCTCTGGATCACTATGGCTACTACATCTATCCCGGCTCATCAAGGCAATATATGAAGAAGTAACCATGAAATTATATGCCTCTGCAGGTGAAATCCGATCGCGGCACGTTGACCGAGTACAACTTTGCTGAGGAAGTGCGTGCCCAGGTTGAATTGTATGAGATGCTAGAGAGATGTCGCACGCAAACATAGATGAGTCCTTTGACGTAGGAGAGAGTACGGGTTTGCGCATGTCTCGACAGGGCGTTGCTAAGCTCATGCGGCCACGTAGTACTGCCGTTCGTATACCCAGGTACCGTCCATGCCTACCCGAAATTCCATGGTCGGTACTACCAACGAATACACAGCGAAGCGATGACTGTCTCGCGCTTACTTACCGTCAACCCAAAAGACGGTTTGGAACCATATCAGGCGACCGAACATCATGAACGCGGCATCGCTTGGGCACGTTCTGATGTGGAAGTTGAAGTGGTCGCCGAGACCGCCGCGTACATCGAGGCTGTCAGAGAAACCTTGGTATCGGGATGCACGAAGGACTAAGCCCCTGGCGTGGTTGATATCACATTGCATGTGCTGTGTGATTACTTGCGCATGGTAGTTGAGAGCAGCTCACCGAGCGTGTGTTGCATGGTTTCCCTCGCAACACCGCGGCGGAAAAGAAGGTGAAAATGCAGCCGCATCATGGGTGATCTCTATAAGGCAGATGGTAGGGGCTTCGAGATAACGTCAGTGTAGAAGTCGAGCGCTTAGTCGTTGCGTGCGATTGGCCAACCATCACCGTACCTCAGACCATTGGCTATCTTGACGTCGAATGCAGAGTCGTGTTGCAACGGAAGAATTTCGTACAGATCAGTGTCAGTCTATCACGAAATTGGCTTGGGAGTTTTTGGGAGATCGAGCCGAAGTTGTCAACATTGTCAAAACCTTGGTAAATGTACATTGTGTTTCAATCCATAAAAACATAGCAAATGCGAATCCATCTCAGCTGTCAGACAAAAGGATGACGCCACAAAATACAAAGGAGAAGTGAATTCCGTAGCAGTAGTCGAAGATGTGACTTCATCTTGAGAGCCAAACTTCTTGAATATCTATCGATCTCGGCGGAAGAGACTGACGAAAGCGTAACGCTGGGTGAGTCACGTGTACGGACGGTCTGTGACTAGGTCGCGGGAACGGTTGATTGGCGTAAGGTACCAATCGTGTAGGACCAATCGCTTCGACTCCCGGGGTCGGTCCAAAACGCCGCCAAGCCACATCACATCGTCGGAACCCTTCGATTGGTTAGAATTCGTTCTTGCACTTGATGAAAATTAGGGGAATTGCAGGTGATGAACCGTACTTACAGAATTTCGACTCTGTAGAGTCGCCTTGTAGAAAGCCCTGCTCTTTGAGCGCTTCGAATGTGATAGCCCAGTGTGATGAAATCCGCGGAAACTTCCTGATCCATTGCGTCGCGTTCGCACGCCTCCACAGGCACCACGCCTAACGCCTTGTGTTCCAATAACTCGGCCTTTGCGTTTCACCTTGCCGAATTCGTACCCAGCGATCATGCCCATACCCCTTCCTCCCAATGATCGTACAAGATGCGCATGACGCAAACCTTGTATCTCGCTGTCCCATGCATACCGTGTCGTGTGGGTGGCCTCAGAGGCGGTTATCGGCGTGAGGTCACAGCGGGTTGAAGCGCCGTGGAGGGATGGTGGAGATGAGCCTGTCGTGTGATGGTCGGTAGACGGATGTCGTTTTGGGTCCAGGGCGATGGATAAATGCAGCTCAGAGTCCCATGTTTGAACTCATATCCATTGCAGAACAACCACAGGCATACGTTCCATCTTGAAGTACACCTTCGCCCGACCAAGACAAAACGCAGTCAACCATTATCTTTGCAACACATCTTCTCTGGCATCGATCCCCCCGACTGACATCATGCACGCCCGCAACGTCCTCCTCTTCGCGTCGGTTCTCCTTCCAGTCATCGGCGCACCTGTGGCTACGCAGGAGGTAAGATTAATGGTGTGTTCTGATCTGATCATTGCTGACATGTTCAAGATCAACTCTATTCAGCAACGTAGTGCCAATGTCTTGAGTCGACTAGGCTCATATATCTCCAAACGCGAACCGCTCATCGAGAGAATACCCACGAAAGCGCTGCCCGACATCGTCTTCGAGACCAAGCGTGATGCCGATACAGAGGATGCCCCAGCAATTGATGAGGATGATGATGACTTTGAAGAGGACGAGGAAGATGTTACCGATCTTGAAGTTGATTCAAGTGAGGTTGATCCAACAAAGAGAGGACTGCGTGGCACTGGTGGTGCTGGTGGTAACAAACGAGGCCTTCGTACAGTAGGCGGTTCACGCGGTGGAAAGAGAGGCCTTCGTGGTACGGCTGGTGCTGGCGGCCATAAGCGCAGCGTCGATGGCAGCGCTGCGGTCGTTGATAAGAGAGGTCTTCGTGGCAACGGTGGTGCGGGTGGCCACAAGCGCAGTGTCAGTGACAAGAGAGGCCTTCGTGGTACGGCTGGCGCGGGCGGCCATAAGCGCAGCGTCGATGGCAACGCTGCGGTCGTTGATAAGAGAGGTCTTCGTGGCAACGGTGGTGCAGGTGGTCACAAGAGGGGACTCCGCGGTACGGCCGGCGCTGGCGGTCACAAGAGGGGTCTCCGTGGTACAGGCGGTGCTGGCGGTCACAAGAGGTCGCTCTTTGCTCGTTTCTTCGATTCTTTCCTGGCCTGAACAACGTGCTGAGCTGGACTCAGATGGCACCATGGCGACTTTCTTTCTTTCTTCCTTTCTTGAGTGTAATATCCCCAATGTATTGTAGAATTGACTGTAACTAGTAAGACCATTTGTCGAGATGGTTTTCTCGTTTTTTCTTCTTTTGGATACTAGAATGGCATTTTGATGGCTATATCCAACCTGGTGGAGGCTGTGGTTGCCTTGGCTTTTGGACGAAAGGAGAGAACAAGTTGCCAGATACTCTCCAGCCTTGATTAGGCTGTAATTTCACCTTCAATTCCTTTGCCTTGGCTCTCGGGGTCCCTGTACTTGATGATCTGGTAATCTTTTGCTGCATCTCATCCGGTAAGCCGTACAAGAGCGTGGCGTAAGCGGATGTCTTCCATACACCTACGCGATCGCGTTCCACGGCAGACTTCAAGACAGTTGCGGCAAGGAATACGAAAGAAATGCACAGCAAGCCAATAGGCAGAGTAAGCCATTCCCATCTAACATCGACAAAATTCTCCTTGTTGTAGGCTTTTCCGGACACCATAACCCTACTAGTTGAAGATCGCATCACATTGGTGACCGCTGAGGCCATCCTCTCCATGTAGTGTGTAAGGTTGTTTGGAGCTGCCCAAGGATTGGGGTTGAGTACGCGAGTGGCAGGTCCTTGGGGATAGTTCTTGAATCTCAATATAGGCTCTGCTGAATCATTGTTGGCGGTATAAAACGATGGAAAGAAGTCGTCGAATATGGTCATCGCGTTAGATATCGTGACGTTGTCGATTTCGTAAGTAGTGTTGAAAACTGTCTCGTTCGATCGGCCAGGATGCGAAGCCGGTGGTTGCAAGGTAACATTCTGCTCGTATATGATGTACGTTCCGAGGTCTCCAACCGGATAGGCTTTCCATGGCCATGCCTGAGGTTCGGATGTCGTGGGTAGGTAGGTGGATGTGACATTCTCGCTGTACTTACCCCAATCGTAAGACGACTTGATGGTCTGAACACACCACGAGAGAATACATTCCTCTATTACCGGTTTGGCGTCCCGGTACACCCCCTTAGCACCATCAGGTGACGATGCTATCAGTGCGTCGAGTATGGGATTACGGATATGCTTGAAGTTGATCGAGCCATTACCGTAGTAAGGTTCTTTCGTGTCGAAGTCGGTAAGAGAAAACGCGCGTACTATCAGAGCTTCTCCAGGTGTCTGACCGGCGTCCGAGTCTTCCATGACATATCCTGACATGAGTACGGGTTTCCCACTCGTCGCGTTGACAAAGTAACCACATACTGTTCCATTCGGATACGGATCGTCGCTCAACGGTCCCAACCAGTTGGCGCTCCAGTCGATGGTCGTGTTGAGGCAGTTGTAAGTGAGGTTTAGAGACTCGGTAACGTCTGAACAGCTGCTACAGACAGCAAGAGTCTCGTACTCTGGCCAGGTACAGTTGCTTGTGGGGCAAGAGAGAGGTATGTCGGGACGGGTACCTATTTAAAGTCAGTGTGGGTTCCATACATGAGGTCTACATTGGGGAGCGTTGCTTACCATTTCCGAACGGCGTTGGCTGAGTTCCATTCTCATAAAAGAACTTCTTGATGACTGGATTAAAGCCTTCATCTACTTGTTGTTGCTCAAAGCCCTGTAGGAAGTCCGGAACGAAGGGTGGTTGATATCTCATAACTCTCGGAATCGTGCTGGACTCGTTCTGCAAAGCCCATCGATCGGGAAAGTCAACCACTTGCTGGAAGAAAGGGTCGAGTGCCAAGGAGCACAGCATTATCATAGCTCCTAGTGCTGCCAGAGCTCTTCCTTTAGTACGAATCAAGAGCAACAGCGAGCCCCAAGGTCCTCTTGAAGCATTGTCGAAGATCTCGAAGTCCCACATCTGCTTCGAGTGTTCTAGGAACCAGCTCCACTTCAGCTGGCCAAGAGCTTCTGACACTGGTAGGATGAGGGCAGCACCTGCCATCTTGGATAGAATGGAGATGTAGGCATTCAGTGTCAGGCCAGTCTTCTCGGCAAGAACCCACTTCGTCAGTGGCTTGTCTTTGAGCCCAGCAAGTACTCCGATCACTGCCATCATGCATATCGCACTGAACAACCAGCTGAGTACTTCCAATAGCCATCTCTTCAAGATGTTGCCAGAAGCACTGTACCTCCACAAAGTCTCTTCGATACGTTGTGCGATGTTGGCTTCTGGTTCGCGTCTGTCATTGAAAGGCGGCGATATCTCAATGGAGGGAGGCTTAGGCGGCCCATTGAGAATGCCCAGCCCTGGATGGTTGTAGTAGCTGATCGGGGTCTTCTCGTTGATGGAAGGTACCTGTAGGGAATGAACGGTGTCAAGACGGACTCGAGGGCGTTCAGTCGGAAAGAAGCGAAGAGTCGGTCGCCGAGAGTCAGACTGGTGCTGGATCTCTGGTGGCGGTTCTGGAATGGGCCAGATGACTGAGCGGCAACTGGAAGTCTCGATAGTGGTTGTAGGGCTTGGCTCGGCCGGGCTGATGGGTGGCGCGTTGATGTGTGACGGGCTCAGGTGCGTCGGGCGTTGAGGAGGGATGATGTCTGGTGTGGTTGGCGTAGTTGGTGTTGTACCATATGTCTTTGCTGTGATGCGTTCATCGCCGGTATCCAGATAGATTGGAATGTCTGGAAAAGCAGGCGAGCGCATAGGAGTGCGAGGAGAACGGGACATGTTGGGATAGTAACCTGATGTGGATATCGGGTAAGGCATTAAAAGAATACGTGAATACGAATTAGGTACTTCGATAGTGGAGAACGATGAAAAGATGTTACTTCGTACAAGATAGTAGAGCAGTGCCAGACTGGAGAGAAGCAGTAGACTGATACCAGGTACTTACCATCGGTGTCCATCACCATACTATAACAACATCGAGCTGCACTATAAGCCTCCACAAGCCATTTCCATGATTGGAGCCTGCTCGAAACATCAAACAGCACTGTTACTGCGGCGTACATGCAAACTATGCCTTCGTTCTGGAAACCGGTGCATTGCCGAGCAAACGCACCATTCACGGCACGAGCTAGCCGCAAGGACCAGACCCAACCTCCAGAAAAGTATGCCAAGAAAGGCGGCTGAAGGCCGTTTCCACGACACCTACGTGCGGCGCGGGCGTCGGGAGCTGTCAAGCCGGGTCACCGCTGTGGGTGTAGCCGTACAGAGCATGTGTATAACCGCTGGGATGGCCGCATAGCTAAGCTAGCGTATTCTCGTTGCCGCTGTGGTATTAAAACATATGCAGCTAGGCGTATTCTTAGCTTTTGGCCCCTCCATGAGGTCACGTTTCGATGACGATGCATCAATGAGGCACAGTCGTATAAGCGCTTCGAGCCTCATCGGACGCTGCAGCCAATGTAAGGAGCGCGGGTTTGGGGAAACATGTTGGTTTTGCTCGGTGAGCGAATGGCGATGCCGCTTTCCAGCCTCGGAGGTATCGCGTGAACTCGCGCGACGTGGGTGGTTGTGGAGGTGGTGGGAACGACGGCCTCGGGATGTTTCGACGAATTTTTGGGGGTTCAGATAGCGGGGTCGCGCTATCGTTAAGCGCGGGGCCGATAACCCCACTTATTAATAGCCACCTATCAGCGCCGCGGAATATTTAGCCATGCGTCTATTTTTCGAATATTCCATGTCGCGTCTATCGTGCATTTGGCATCTCGGTGCAAAGCAAACAACGCATGCATGCATGAAGCAAGCTTCACGTGACGGCGTCTTTCAGTTGCAAGCAGAAGCGTGACAACTGCCTTCCTCTGGAGTAGCCGAAGCATATCAGGTGTGTTATGATGGACCATCGTCTGACACCTCCCAGCTAGCCCTACCTCTCCATCCAACACTTCGCTTACTGACTTGATACTACGGTGGCTTGAGGCTGAACATGCGATTCGGTGTTCCCTAGTACTGACACGTGTACTAACACCGGCGTACGCTAAATCCAGTCTGCCGGGTCGCGGCTATCAAGGCTGCATTGCGATCGTTGCGTACCCTCACTGGCCAAGCTTATGCCCATCTGTTGTTGTTTCAAAGCCGCCAGATTCCCATTCGTTCGGAAGATACCCCACAGGTCCCGACAAGTCGGAGATCTGTCTTCTGTAGCCGCTGTCGCCTGATCGGTGTCATGGTCGCATAGAAGAGCGGACCATTGGTGCGTTGTGTCGTCGAAACAAACTTATGATGGAAGTGGAGATCCGCGCAACTTCCAGCCTCTTCAGGCGTTGTATGCAAGGCATGGTTTGATATGTTGCTGCGCCGCATGCTACATCGGAACGTTGAACGCGCAGACGGGTAACGTTGCAAAGGTGTTGAGCTGATGTCAGCCATGGCTTCATTAATATTGCATGACCCCAAAGTGTTCATTGCGAGCCACAATGAGTGATGCAAAATCTTACACGGGAACGTGAGGACTAGTTCATGATTCATTACCGGAGACGACCGCGAGCAACACTGACTTGTGCTGAACAGCCACAAATTATGCATCTCCATCTCCACTATTTTCATCCACGACCGTTTCATACCCGCTCGAAGGAATGCGGCTCACTTCCAAGCGGCCTCAAAACCCGCTTTGTGAGCGTCAAATGCAACGTCATTTGCAAGATCCATCGCCCTCATTCCCAGCCACCACTTTACTTGCGACTTAGACCTTCTTGTCTGGCGCTTCGTGAAGCTCGATGGCGTTGCTATCCTGACCCATGACCTTGGCGGTGGTTGCAGCGAGCGCATCCGCATCATCCTTCTCACTTTCAAACAAGAATGTAAGCTCTTCCAGTGTCTTTCCGTACGTTTCCGGGAACAGGAAGTAGATGAACACAATCTCGCAACACAGCAAAGCGATGTAGACGAAGAGGAACTTCCAGTCAAGGTCTTCCAATCCGATGGGATTGGTGAAGGACCCAAGCATGACGGAGCAGCGATTGAAGAGTTGGAACCATGAGAGACCCTTGGTTCTGACGTAGTATGGGAAAATTTCCACCATGTAGACGTAGGTGAGGGCGTTGTAAGCGATGTTGTACGCAGGCTTGTATAGGAAGATCATGACAAGGACGGCATAGCCGGTCTCTTTAGATCCAGTCTGGCGATTACGAGCCTGAGCAATGGTCCACGCGGTGTAAACGCACAACAAGCAACTCGCACACAAAAGGTACATCCTGCGACGTGGGTATCGGGGTGTGATGGTTGCCATGACAAGAGCCATAAGGAAGCCCCATGCTTCAGAGCCGACGTTGTAGCGCACCTGGGTGTGACTGTCTTCAATGCCGATTTTCTCCAGGATAGGCACAAGGTATTGGCTGATGAGGTTGTTGCCGCTGTACTGAACAAAGACGCCAAGGCCGGCGGCGACAAGTGCACGGTGTCGCATGCCTTTGGACTGGAAGAGCTCGGCCCATCCACGTTGTCGCGATTCGTTCTCCAGCTCCAGAGCTTTCCTGATCTCAGCAATCTCAAGGTGAGGTAGCTCAGCCGACGCATCGCCTTCTGCATGGTACTTGATTAAAATCTCAAGAGCTTCTTCGCTGCGATCTTTCGAAACTAGCCATCGAGGGCTTTCCGGGACTGTGAATGCGAAGATGATTTGAATGACAGAAGGGCCTGCTTGGAGGATGGAGGGGAGGCGCCAAGACCAATCGCTTGGGATCAGCAGCGTACGCACGACTATACATCGGAGCCGAGATTAGCGTGCATTCATCTACCTTTCGTGGAGATATTTTGCTCACCTATACCCGCTCCGAGAACTGAGCCTACTCCAAAGAATGCATTGAAGAGACTACCTAAGAACTGTCGCTCTTTGGGATGGCCTAGTTCGCCGAGAAGAGCGGCGCCGGAGATAATTGCATAGACAATACCATGGCCAAGGAAGATTCGACTGAAGATGAACATGGCGACTACATGTATGTCAGTTACAAGAATCTCTGAATGCAATAAGCATGCTGAAGGTACTCACGGTTCTGCGACAAGCCCTGAATTACTGCTCCGATGATCATAATCGTGGACCCCAAGACGATACTCTTCCGCCTTCCAAGATGATCAGACACGATGGAAACGAACGGAATACTCGATATAGCGCCGAGGTTGTAGCAGGCGACAAGCAATCCGAGTTGGCCTCCTTTGGGATGATTGAAGTATTCCTGCCAGTAGTGGAGAGCTTGCACTGATGACGTATACTTGATTAGTATCACATCTCAAGGAACTCCGTAGTAGTATCTACTTACTTCCATTCATCATTGAGCTATCAAATCCAGAAGTAGACTCAATCAAGAAGCAGAAAGGTACCAACAATAGGTAGAGACGTCGGAGGTTTGGCTTGTTCCACCATCGTACCGTATCGGCGGCGACGAGGCGCTCGATGATACCGTCACCAGGGCCTGCAACTGCTGGTGCCATGATTTTCCGCTCGAGATCGATGCTCAACGTAGCGACAGAGTGGCACCTTCGCAACTTACATACTCGAAGCCAAGCACTTCACCGGTTCAAGTAACCGTCGAACCGACTAAGGGATGCTGGATCTGCCTCGCTTTCGTCTTGGCTTTGCGGGGTTTGTGCCCGGTGGGACGGTTGACGCATCCTTCATCATGAAGCATGACCGTTGATCAAAGGAGATACGAATGTCTGTCTTGCGATGATACAACAACCACCAAGTCTGGTCTCTCCGTAATAGGACATATGAGGCTAATTTTCTCTGCCGTGCGGATAAATGCCGTGTTATGATAGTCTGCCTTACTCAACACCGTCAGCTTCAATATCAAAATCGTGTACTCAGGTCCGTGAATGTGTATGCAGGGCTGGACTCAGATGACCCGATGCCCGACGTGGGCCTCAGCACTAGCCATGTCTGGCGCGGTCCGTGGTGCAACGGGTAAGGTTGAATGCGGGGGAAATTCTCCTGTCCCTCCACAAGTTCTTTCGCACTGTATCGCCAACTTCTCGACTGATCTGGGCGACAAAGTGCGAAAGAGGTTGGATTGGCGGGCCAAAAATCCGGGCATTTTTCAGGCGGAAGACATTGTGCGGTAGTGCCGCAACGGCAATCGATTTGCAGGCGGGTCTCAGCAGGAGCTTGCAAAAATCCACGATGCGCATGCTGCTCAGCAGCATTGCTCTTCCGTAAGTATGTCGATTCAAGCTCTGAAGTAGATGCTGTCGCGTCGGAGAGATGACGTGAAGGGCTTGACGCGCCTGCCATTAGGGGCCGGCTCCTCTCGTGGCGCACAGATCACCAAGCCACACCTTCCGGATAGCGCCAGCCTCCTCAAACTCCAACACTTTCCATCGTCATCCCACTATGACTGAAGCGGTGCGCAAATTCGTCCAGCACTGTGGTAAATACACTGACATTGCGATCTGGAGGTTCAGTTGAATGCCATTGCATGCGAGAATTGCAGATCGAAGAAGTGCAAGTGCGATCGGAAGCTGTGGGTAACCCGCATGCCAGCTGCAGAACTTCATCTAACCAACACAGCCCATGCTGTTCTCAATGCCAAACATCATCGCTGCCATGCCACTATCAAGAGGGTGGCAAGCGAGGTCTTCCAGCCGCATATATCACTGCTCTTGAGAAGCGGCTGGCAGACACCGAGGCTGCACTCTCCGCAACACTCACTGTCGTCCAAAACCAAGACTTAATACTGTTGAACGACGTTAGGCTTTCAGAACCATCATCGCACGCACCAAAGCGACAGGGTTCAAAAGCAGAAAAGCTTGAACAATGGAAGCGCCTGCCTTTGCAGACGACCGAGCAGTTGACAGCTTGGCTACAAGCACAGTGTCGCGAGACGGCAGCCCCGGAAGTTTTTCCGCCGAGACACAGCAATTCCGTCCCTGATAACGACGGAGCGCGCAAGACATCCAGGACAGCCGAAGGTCGACCGAATAGTGGTGCGCACGCCTCTCGCCAGATACCCAGCGACACATCCCCACCGGTGTCAGTCTTGCAGCAACTGGAAGACTGCGAAATGCCTATAGCACCGAACATGCAGCGAGCTCCCACTGATCCAGCAAGATGGCAAGAAAACTACTTCTAGAACTCGAGAGGTGTGTCTGGCAGATGCTGCTGCGATGCCAGTGAGGCTGAGTCAGGTAGACGGCTCGTCCTCAGTCACACGAGTCAACCACCAAAGATGCCGATCGTCGGCAGCCGCAGGACCAGCACACACTCGAAAGGCGATGCTGGCCATTCATCACGCTGTGGTCGGCACTGGACGTATGACACGATCGAAAACTTGGAAAATTGTTGCTACGGTAATACATTGTAGAGTTTGGAATACACTGGGAAACGCTCACGAGACACGCAGGCTCTTCTCGTCGCACGATTGATCCTCTACTCGGCTTTGAGAACACTATCGAGTACTCCGCATCTCTTCACCCAACTCCTCGCACGCTTGCCGTAGATGTACATTGGAATCGTGCAAAGTGTGACAGCGACAGTGGTTCCGCCAATGACATAAAACGCGTCCCTCACACCCTGTACCGCGATCCAGTCATTGGCGTAGAACGTCAGGCCGAATGCGAAAAGGTTCTTGACGAAGTTCATGATGGCAAAGGCTTCGGCGGCCTGCTCGCGATGGCAGTCGGAGACGTAGGTTACGACGGCGGTAGTTCCTAACTGAACACCCAGGTTGATCAGACCCATGCAGACGATGACTGGGATGGGCCACGGATCGCGGTTGTGGAGTGATTGGCCCCAAGCAAAGAAGCCGGTCGCGGTAAAGATCAGGTAGGTTATCATAACAGGGAGACGGAACTCAGGTTCTAAAGCATTGTCAGTTGTTTAAAATCACAGCTTGGATCGTCTGCACTTACCGAAAGTGCCCTTATTGCGTGTCGACATCCACTTCGCCACACCATCGATGATCGGACCGGCTACCAGCGTGGCCAACAAAGACGCCACGAACGAGGACAGGTTCGTTGCGCCAACCGCGCTCACGGAGAAACTGTATGGTGGTGCGGAAAAGATCTGCGACAACGTGATGGAAATCAAGACAAGCCAGGATACGCAGATGGTGAAGAGCAAGGTCGCCCACATGACTACCGGGCTCATGATCACCACAAAGGGGCGTAGAAATGTGCGCCAGAAGGAGACATGATCCCAGTAACCAGACCATGGCATGAGAGTCTTGACGTAAGGGTATGGGGCCTCGGAAGAGACGGACGACTGGACCGCATAGTCTTCGACGCGCTCGGCGGACTTCTCCTTCTCAACCGCGTCACTTTCCACAGTTTTGGAGCTCGTGTCGATATTGATGACGTCGTGGCGGTGGTAGGCGGACTCGGGCATGAAGAAGATGATGAGGATGAGCATGATGACAAAAGCACCGCCCATTGCATGCAATGCGATGCGGTGAGAGCCGTATTGGATGACGGATCCAGCGATTGGACTCGCTAGGTTGATACCACCGAGGACACCAAGGTTGAAGATGGCCATTCGAAATCCGCGCTCATGAACGTGCCAGATGTCTCCGACGGATGCTGGGATAAGTGCTTCAAACGGTGCCATGCAAAGACCTTGGACCGCTCGGGCTGCCGCTAGAGAGGGAAAGCTGGTAGCTTCCGCAGCCCAGAAACAGGACACCGCCAGGCCAACTGTGGTTGCGAGGTAGATTGGTCGTCTCCCGATTTTGACGGCTAAGGTGTTGCAGATGAGACTACCCACTGCGATGGCGACGATGCAGGATCCATTGCAACCCAGCGTGAACCTCTGTAATGGGACGTTGAACTGTGCTGCCAGGGGCACGAAAGCTGGTGTGAGCAGCGGACCGACAGCTACAAAACTGCGATTAGCTCAGTATGTGGTATATTGATGTCGCGAGCCTACCTCCTACAGCGCCGCATCCATATGCGATGACGACGGTGAACATCTCCTTCTTCCATCTTGGCCAATTGTAGGGGTCGTTCGGCGAATCAGAAGGCTGCGGCACCAGCACAATCTGCCCAGTAGGATCATGCTTCAGCAGCCCGCGATCAACATCGTTCGTGATCTCGAGATCAATGCGACCAAGCTCGCTTAACGGAGCTGTCCCAGGGACATGTTCGAGCTTGTAGTCTTGGAGTATACCCAGAGGCATGGTAACTCTATGTCCGCGGTGTGATTGGAATGGTAGCGCAAGGGAGCACACGTGGAAGTATAAACGATATGCAAAGAAGCAATCTAGATCGCACAGCAGATAGATGGAAGCAGCGTGGAAGCAATCCTAAATTGTCGAAGATGCGACGGACACTATAATGTGGTGGTGGTGGGGGATGCCTTAATCCCACGGCAGTTGAGCTTGGGCGACTGCATACAGGGGATGATGATTCGGTGGTGTGCGGGGAAGGATGGGTAGGATGCGGGGGCTAGCTCCGGGTTGGTCGCTCAGGTATCCACTGCTTCATGTTGCAGACGGCTAGTGATGCCAGCATGCCTCGGGTTAATGCGACCGATGAAGATGCTGTCAATCGTCGCCTCTTTTGGGTGTGCGACCGCATAGGGGAAACAAGAGATCGGCAGAGGCTCTGCTTTAAACTTCACATAAGGTCCCAACAATGGCTTCGTGGCAGTGGTGGCTTCATGAGAGGTAACGTAGCCACGATCGACATGCGCGGATGTAGACGCGTGTTGCTGATCTCTGAACTTTACAATATGGCGTTTCAAGCTATCGTGATGGCTCGCACATGGCGTTGTAGGCCTAAAGGACAATCGCATCGGCTACGAGTCAGGTTTTGCACCGGACAACGTCCGCTCCACCAGGTTGGAGCCAGCGGCTAACGTTGCCGCATCATCAGGCCCACCCCATCACGACCCTGGCTTCTACTGACTCTTACCGTAGATGCTTTCTAGCTCAGCGCAGACCGCGTCAGTAACCTCCTTTGTCGACGCCTTGCCTCCCAGGTCGCGCGTGGCAATGCCTCGCTCCGTGATAGCTTCCACGCTTTCCATCAATCTCTTTGCCGCTTGCTCTTCGCCTAGCCATGCTAGCATCTCAGACGCTGTCCAAAAGGTTCCGACTGGGTTTGCGACACCCTTGCCGGTGATGTCGAAAGCCGAGCCATGAATCGGTTCGAACATGGACGGATGCTGGCGTGTGGGGTCCACTGGTAACACTTAGCATGGGCAATGGATGCAACCATGTGGAAATGAAGAATACGTACGGTTGCTGGTAGGAGCGATGCCAATGGAGCCTGCCAGTGCGGCTGCAAGATCGGAAAGAATATCCGCATGCTGGACGAGTCAGCAAAAGCCGAGGTGAGTTCTCAGTACATTGGAAGTTACCTACCAAGTTTGTTGCAACTATCGTATCCAAAGATTTCGGATCGAGTACCATCCGGCACGTCATGGCGTCGACGAGCATCTTGTCGCACTTGACATCAGGAAAGTCTTTCGCAACTTCAGCGGCAATCTCATCCCACATAACCATGCCGTTGCGCTGCGCGTTACTCTTAGTAACGACTGTGATCTGTTTCCTCGGCCTGCTTTGGGCTGTTTCGAAAGCGAAGCGTATAAGTCGTTCCACACCATGCCGGGTGAAGATCGAGACCTCCGTAGCAGTCTCCCACTTCTGGCCTCTATGCGATCGGCCTCCTTGTCCTGCATATTCACCTTCGGAATTCTCTCGTACAATCACCCAGTCTAGGTCGCCATGCTCTGCGTTGCGCAAAGGCGATGATGTTCCCCGGAAGATCTTGGTGGGTCGCACGTTGGCATATTGCTGGAAGGTCTGGCAAATCGCGAGCCGCAGGCCCCAGAGAGAGATATGGTCAGGTACATCTGTTCGGAGTTCAGTACCAACATCGATTAAGACTCAGCATCTGATACATACCCGGGGCACCCACAGCACCAAACAGGATCGCATCATGCTTCTTGAGCTTCTCTAATCCCCCATCAGGGATGTATTGGCCTGTCTTCTTGTAGGTCTCAGAACTCCAGTCGTAGTCTTTAAATTGTAGTCCGAATGTGCCGTCAAGTTCTGCCAGCTTCTTCAATACTTGTACGCCGGCATTGACAACTTCAGGGCCAATGCCATCGGCGCCCATTGTCGCAATAGAATGCGTGCGCATGTTGGTGACTGGTGGAGTGTTGGGTTGGGATAGGGAGTAACGGCTAATGAGTGATCGTAACGGCGGTAAGCACTTGGGTTGATATCTCTTGAGGTTCTATGTGCAGTATCTTTTAAGCCTCATAGTCCGGACTAAGAAACCCCATATTCACACTTCGTAGACGATGGGACTGTTGCCGAGCTCGCCACTGGTGCGCTGGATAAGGGTAAGTGCGGGGGGGACGCGGACAAACAAAGTCCGACGCTCCCGAACCATGCCACCACGCCCAGCAATTCGAATTTATCCTGACGCTTGAAACTATGTGAAATCCCAATGTTGTTCTTGATCGAACCAGAATGGGATGTCGAAGCCAGAGAAAGGGTCTAGGCCGTTGGAGTACTCTGTTGATGAAGCGTTGGCACCCTCCGTTCCAACAAAGATGTTCCAGTAGCTGTTGTGCTCAAGAGAAAGAGCATCGTGATTCAGGTCGCCCGTCGCACTGGAATCGAATGCTGCATTATATGGTGGATACTGCGCGTCATGATGAGGATCGATGACATTCCTCCTTTGGCTTCCGACTTGATCTGGATGGTCGTTGCGGGTAGGTAATGATTGTTCGTGCAGGCATGAACGTACGCTCAATCCATCTTTCTGAGAAAGGGCTGCATCTCCAGCGACCTCTGAGTCGTATCGAGAAGCCATATGAGCAGACTTCTGCAGCATTCGAGCCCGTAAGTCGCGAATGGCCACCGAGCTTGCTTCAGGCCAAGCACTGCCGCGTAGCGTGAGGTGTTGAAGTATGTCGAGACTTTTATCTGCGAATCTTGGTACATGTTAGTAGAGGTAATACAATTTCGACATATTGATTACCTTATGACGATGCTGTGATCAATGCGGCCCTCGTGGGCGGCGTAGAACATGATGAATGTGCTAATCCACACAGCCCAGGTGCAGGAGGGCCAAAGGAGAGCCAAGTGGTAATGATATGTTTGAGACCCGTCTTTGCCCTGGATAGCGGTGTGCAAGGTAGTGATGATGCTACGCGCAGAACTGATGCACTGTTGTAACGCGGCATTATAAGCGACATCTTTACTACCGGTAGCTAAGACGGGACGATACAGCGAGATAATCAACTCGTGTCTAAGTAGTGTCAACACTACAGTCGCGTAAGGAGAAGCACCACATCGGCTATCCGGGTCGATGTAGTCCTCAACATCGTTCCACCATTGGCCAAGCTTAGCTATGATTGATGTCGCTCGGTCAGGATCATGCTGGACGTAGTGTAGCGACTTGTTGCGCAATTCGATGATTTCGCCACGCAGCCTGGCTTGCTGGGCAACGAGGTGCAGCAGCTGGAGATCACGACCTGCAGGTTGTGAGATATGGCACAAAAGAAATATTACCTGACTTACGAGGCTCGACGCGCGTCTGCAGATGATGTTCCGCGAGGGGAAAGCAGACGTCGATATCGTCGTCAGGTAGGCCGAGTGGGAGGCCCATGGATTGGGCAAGAAGCCGATCAACAGCATAAAGTGACCAGAAGACGCGTTGTCGAAGTTCTTTCGTGCTTGATGTGAAGGTCGAGAATCTTGCTGGGCAACGATGAAGGCCTAGCTGCACAGCCATCCGCATAATCAGCCCTCCAAGACGGGAGGCGGCGTTCAAGCGAAGCATAGAGACTAAGAAGAGCTGCACACTGAGTGCGGCTTGTAGCGTGAGTATTGTCGTAGGACGAGAAAGTATCGTCCGGAGACTATCTACAGCAGCATCATACGATGGAAAGACGATACAGGCAGGATGTCGAGTACTCGGTAGCCCTGGCGATTGTCGATGGTCTGCAAGCGAGATGGACATGATCGAACGCACTATCACCAGCTGTAGGTCTTCCGAAGCACCATGATCGGGAAAGCCATTTCTTGCACAACAATCGAAGTACTCTAGGACAGTTGTGGCGTGTACGAAGGGGTAGAACGGGTGCCAATTGGCAAAATAGCTTCCAGAAAAAGCGACCAGTTCGCGAAATGTTATGTAAGAGGTCTGACCGTGTGAGATCTCAGCTTCTCGCCATAAGCGTCCGGAGGAATTCGGTTGCACTAGAGAGAGATGGTCGTCTTCGCCTGGTACGATGTCGCTGCCGGGCGTTTCGCCGTCTGTAGGCACTGCAGAGCGTCGGATCGCACCATAGACTGACCTAATGAAGAAGATGCCGCTGGCACTGCCCACGAAGCCCGTGAACTTGTCACCAGGGACGCTTCGCATCAAGCCCACCTCCCGAGCAGGTTGTTCTGATGTTCGCCGTCGCTTTGCAGGCGGCTGTTCGTCCGCGAAGACCTCGGATGGCGCGTCTCCATCTTGACCACGTTCCATGACCGCGATCACGCTCGGTGATGTAAAAAAGCGATATAGTGCTATATCCGATGATTGTTGGTGCTGACCTGATGAGGCTGGTGAAAGCGCTGGATCTGTAACATCAAGGCGGAATGACGGAGAGAATCAGGCGCGCGAGCTGTCTAATACTGCGTATTTCATCATCTGTGAAGCGCCGGCGACACGCAAAGCGATGAAAATGCCATCGGTGGGCGGAAACGACGCGAAAGTGCACTGGCAGCGGCATCGACGGCGACCGTGCAAACTTCGCCGAGCTCCGCAGCTGACTTGGCGTGGCTGACGCGTGCGCGCCCTCACCCGTTCCATCGCAACATCATCCATGGCATCACCCAAATAATGTCTTCGGCAACTCTTGATGCCGCTGTCGGGCGTCCGCTACCCACCAGGGTCAGCAAGGCGTGTGAGAGGTGTCGTCGCAACAAGAGCCGAGTCAGTCACGCCCTCCCACCGCCTGTCACGCGCGCCGCCGACTGAGTATCCAAGTGCGACACATCGCGCCCTTGCGCGCTCTGCATTCGAGCAAACGTCGAATGCATTGTAAGCAATGTCGAAGTTCCACGCGCACCGAAGAGGAGACGCACCCAAGGCCCCTCCAGCGAAGCTTCACATGAGCAACCGCAGGCTCCAATTCACCATCATGAAGGTACGCATCAAAACATAGATCCAGAAAGCAACAGTCGCGATGAGAGCAGGCGTGCCAGTATCGCAGAAGGTGAAGCCAACTCAGCCATGGATATTGCGCACCAGATCTACCGACTGGGAAGTCAGCCAACATTGAGCCGGACTACATCAGCTATACCGGGTGGCAATGTCTATGGCAGAGCCCCAGCGTCTCGTCTGGATCGCACTCAGAGACGCCCTATAACGGCTATTCTCGGTCATTCTCTGCCGCCAATCGACATGATGCGGACACTCTTGGAAGAGTACTTCGACTCTGTGCATTGGTTTAGCTTGGTCATCTATGAGCCAAGATTCCGGCCAAAACTCGACTCTATCAAGGATGGCCTTGCTTATCCGTCGCAGAAGTCATTCCTCCTCCTCTTGTCTACAGTTGTGGGGATGGGAGCATGGTACAAGTCTCACAAGAAGGACGTGGATACGGACTTCCCAGATGAGGATTGGCGCGCCTGGTCGCAGTCCCTCGTTCAAGGCGCGGGTTCCCAATTGGCTGAACTGATGGACCAGAGTACCATCTCGTCTGTTCAGACGTGTATCTTGCTCGGCTCCTACTATGTCTACCACGGGAAGCCTAATCTATCCTTCGCGTTACTAGGCGCAACCATTCGAACGGCACAAGCCATCGGCCTCCACCGCCAGCCGCTACGAGGCGACCCTCACTATGTCGAAGAGAGGAAAAGAGTCTGGTGGACTATCTACACATGGGACCGGTAATGCGCCCCTCCTTGAAGATGCGAAGGACCTCAGTACAGAGTCTGAGCCTCCTCGTATACTGTAGCATCATTAGCTAACTTGACCAGGTTCGCTTCCATTACGTACGGACGACCCATCGGCATCAACGAGAAGGACTGCAATACACACCATCCGATTGACGTATGCGAGTCGCCCTACTTCAGGAGAACGAACCCCCCAGACGCCGACTTAACAATATGTTACTCGTCCTACCAACGAGAGCTCAACAAACTCTACCTTATCGCGTCACCCATCATCGAGACCATCTTCGGGATGCGGGCGGTGGGACCCAACGAACGGCCGAGCGGACCACAATACACTAATCAGATCACGGACGTGACGGAGAAGCTTTGGGCGTGGCGCCGACGTCTGCCGCCTCATCTTCTACTCGACATGGCCTCCGACTGCAGTATGGATCAATCACGCACCGCACGGGTGCACCAGCTGCAGGCGTTGTCCCTTCAGCTTACATTTGACAACCTCCTTATCATCTTCAATCGCCCGTTAATCGCAAAACAAGTGGACCACCTAATCAGGACGCAACCGGAAAGCGGGCATGGTAACGCACTATCTCCAGCAAGCCTTACGAACACCGAATCCTCATTTCATGCGGTTCATGAGTCCAGCCCGCTCAACAGAAGCCATATGTCGAGCACGGAGCAATGGTGGGACGCCGCGTTGAGAACATCGAAGGTGACTGAATTACCGCGGCTTTCTCAACTAGCCACTGATAGCCACCTGGTAGCTTTCTTGGCTATCAATCTGTTCAACTCCGCCATCGTCATGGCTGTGTTGGCGCTGTCTGATCCACTCTCGGACAGAGCACAGGAAGTGAAAAGGACCATCACACGCATCTTTCGCTTGCAAGAGCTACTCGGCAAAAGGACACAGCTCTCGATGCAGAGTAATGCGGTCCTCAAAGACGTCATCCAGATGCTACTGCGCAGAGAAGCAGATGCGATCTTTGGCGAGAGTGATATGACAAGATCGCATACCGGGACTGCGCAGATGTCTGTCGAAGATACCCTTCGTCTGCCGACGCAACTGCCAGCGAGTGGACACAACAGACAGCAACAGAGTACAGTTGACAGCATGCAGCGCGTTCACGAGAGCATGGCGTCAGTACAGAGAGGTAAGACTGATGCATCCCCGAAGCTGCGTACGAATCTAATCACCTACTTTTCACAGTGTTTCCCGCCCCCCTCGACAACGTCTCCCGTGACGACACAGCTTATGTCCCGCAATGGGTCACGAACGACGGTGGCATGAATCACCTGCCTAGCGAACACAATGATTGGACAAATGCTAGCACCGGAGACTTGAACCTCGAAGGCGAGCTGGACTGGATCAGCGATGATAACGGTGTTGATGTTACTGGCAATGGCCTATACTGGTTCTGGGATTCCGTCTGGAACGAGCCACAATTCTAGCTGTCGCATCACAAACACTCTTCGGTGGGCACGCGTCTCAATTCCAGCAATTTCGTGATTGCGATATGTGTTCAGCGCATCATACACTAGAGCCTCGGGAGATCGGACACACGCGTGCGCTGCTCGGTGCGACCCTCTGCGAACACCCTATCGATGCCTGGTCCATATATGAGCGACTTGATGCCGACTCTATCCGCAACATTCTGAAAAGCCTGTTCCGCATTTGAAAACGTGAACTCATGAGTAATAAGACTATCTAGTTGAACACGATTGGACTCCAGTAGCTGGATGGCAAGCTTGTAGTCTCCTGGTCCGTATCGAAAGCTTCCTTTGAGCGTAGCTTCTTTGTCGCAAATCTGGCCGATTGGAAATGCGATCTTGGGAGCGCCCAGCCCAGCTTGAACGAAGACTCCACCGCGTTTCAATGCAGCTACACCACAGTTGATGCATGGCTCTGCTCCTGTTGCATCGATCACAACGTCAAACCCTGCATCCAGCCCAGCCTTCTCCAAAACTTTCTGAGCATTCGTTTCTGGAAACCCAGCTTCCATCATGTATACGTCGTCGGCACCGAAGTCGGTCGCAAAGCTCAGCCTAGGAGCCACTGCGTCAATAACCACGACTTTCGCAGCGCCGAAAGCCTGTGCCACAGCGCAACACAGCAAGCCTATGGGCCCGGCCCCGAATACCGCCACAGACCTGCCCTGAAGACTTCCGGCGAGTCCGCAACAATGCACAGCTATGCTTAGCGGCTCCACGAGGGCACCTTCACGGAAGGATATGTGTGACGGCAGCTTGTAGCAGCACTCTTCGGGTAGGCAGTAGAAGGTCGATAACGTGCCATTGTAGGGAGGGGTAGCAGCGAACTGCATCGATTCGCATAGGTTATATCGGCCGCGTCGACATGTCTCGCAGGTGTTGCATCCTACGCCAGGTTCCAATGCGACGCGATCGCCCACGGACAGCCCTTTGACATCTGATCCGCAAGCATCGACAATACCAGCAGACTCATGACCGAGGGTGATTGGGCTTTCGACTACATATCTGCCTATGCGCCCAAATTGCCAGTAATGTACCTAGATCGCCGTCAACGTTGACGAACACACTGCAGACCACAGCGGGCGATACGTACGTCAGAACCACAAAGACCGGTAGCCACAATCCTTACGCGAACATGCCTAGGAGTTGGAAGACTCGGAACTGGCCCATCCTCGTATGAGAACTGCCTCGATGGGCTCAGGACGAAGGACGTGTTCATTGGCGCTGTGAGTCGGTTCTCAGGCGACGTCAAAGACCCAGAGGAATTCTTGGGTTCGTGAACATCAGCTGAAGACATGACTGTGAAAAACAGTGTACGGCAATGATTAGAATTGATGTCTCTATCTTGAGGCCCTGACTATATCACCGGCCAGGCGTTCTTACCCGAGTGCGAGAGCGACTGCAGTACGGTTCCGGCGGCTCATGCAGGCTGCTGACCTTCCGATGTGCACGAGTCGGAGCCGCCAGCCCGGAGTTTTCTGCCCCAGCACCGGTTCCGCGGCTCGTGAGAAGAGCGCTTCTGATTGGCTGGCAAAGCATCCCTTAGCGCTACAGCGTTGATCAACTTCTCGAGAAACACACTAGCATATGCCGACCAAATTTCGTCGCTGCAGGGCCAACGTTAGGACCGGAACCGTAACATGACCTGACTACATACGATGATGCCGAATGTGCTCCACTACGAAAATCTGGGGACGATAAAGCCGTCAGGCTTCCCCAGATTTCTCCATCATCCCACCGCATCTCCTTCCGTGTGATCCATAGCACGCACTACTTCTCTACTCTTATCTTGCTCTACACTGGTTGAGAATATGGCTGCCCGCAGTAACTCAGTCGCCAGTCAGAGCGCCAACATCCAGCAGCGTGCCTCGCAAATAGCTGGACAGGTCGCTGCTGAACAGGGATGGCTTGAAAGCAAGCTAAAGCCGAAGAAGATCACGGCCAGGTACCCTATCAAGGGCAAGACCTTGTTGTTCGCAACATGTGGCTTTGGCAGTCTTGGTGATGCCTTGTTTGGTTACAACTCAGGTGTGTTCGGGTACTTGCATGTTGATCAACAATACTGATTCCGCTAGGTATCATGTCTGGCCTACTGGTTAACCCAGTATTCGTCAGGCGTTTCTTCAGCGAGTACGGTGGCGCAGATGGTAGCACAGCAGCCGTGAATCCATCCATCACAGGAATTTCCGTTGCTTGCCTACAAGCCTCTGCCGCTGTCGGTGCTCTCATCGCCGGACGTCTCGGAGACATGATCGGTCGCAAGCGCACTGTCCGTCTCGGTGGTCTCATCTACTTCCTCTCCGCCTTTATCCAGATCTTCGCTCCAGGTTTCGCAACTTTCGTCGTCGGACGTACGATCCAGGGCTTCGGAGTCGGCTTCTTGTCTATGACAGTCCCCATCATCCAAACTGAAATTGCGGCACCCCACGCTCGAGGTCTCATGGTCGGCATCGAATACACATGCTTGATTGCAGGGTACATGTTGTCGTGCTGGGTTGACTACGGCTTCCATTTCATGCTTCCAGACGCGCTATCTTGGCAGGGCCCATTCATCATCCAGATCATCCTCTCGTTCATCTTGGTGGTCATGTCATTCTTCCTCCCGGAAACTCCAAGATGGCTAGCAAACAACGGTTTCATGCAAGAAAGCCTTCAAACAGTCGCAGACCTCCACTCGAGCGGCGATACCGATGCCCCGCACGTACAAAAGGTTTTTCTCGAGATCCAGGAGGCCGTCGTTTACGAGGCTGAGCTCGGCAAAGCTGGCTGGATGGAAATGTTCACCCGTTACCGCAAACGCACAATCGTCGGCGTCACAGTGCAAATGTTCGCTCAACTCAACGGCATAAACATCATATCCTTCTACCTCCCTTCAACGCTCTCCAGTGCTGGCTTCTCGGACGAGAAATCCCTTCTCTACACCGCCGCGAACGCGCTCCCTTACACCGCAGCCACTGTCGCAACCTGGTGGCTAGCTGACCGCTGGGGCCGCAAGCCACTCCTCATCCTTGGCGGTGTCCTCATGGCCGCTCTTCTCGGCATCGTGTGCGCCTTCACAGAAGCTTCCATGCCCATTATGACCCGCGCAAACGGACAATTCGCTTTTATCATGCTGTACAACATTGTCTACGGTTTCACTTGGGGTCCAATGCCATGGTTGTTACCTGCGGAGATCTTCCCGCTCCGCAGCCGCAGTAAGGGCATGGCGCTTGCGACGACGTCAAACTGGGTCTTCAACTTCATCATCGGCATGGTTTCGCCAGACGCTTTTGCGGGAATCGGTGGGTACTTTTACCTTGTCATCGCAGGGTTCTGTCTCTTCTCCGCAGGCCTGGCGCACTTCTACTATGTTGAGACAGCGAATCATTCGCTCGAGGAGATCGCAATTGCATTCGGCGATAGGGCTTTTGCGGATGGGGATGGGGAGGTCATGGATACTGTCAAGGCTCATGATGAGAAGATGCATAAGGATAAGGTCTGAAGGGCTGTGGTCATCGAACAAATATGTAGTTCAAGCCAGCTTGGCGATGTATTTCTCTAAGCTCAACCCGAGATTCACAACGAATTGCCACTGCGTGTTACCGCGAAAGAATCTGGACCAGATATTCAACACAGCCAGACCAAGCGCAAACGGCTCGCTGGGTACAGTCAAGAAACCATCAGTCTCTTCAGCATCTTCAAAGTCAATCACCGCATACGCTTCTTTGATGATACATCTCACCCAATGAAGAATGCGATGCTCAGATCGCGACAGTGACTCCTCACGAAATGGACGAGGGATAGAGCACAGCCATTTACCGAGGAAGATTGCGCACTCGAAGCTCGATATGGCATGCTGAACGCTCCAGAAGAACGCTTGGCTGCGCGCAACCCTGTCGATACCTAGTCGGACGGGTATACTGAGTGCATGGGTTGAGTAGAGCAGAGCTGACAGTATATTGTCATTGCGCTCGATGTCTGGGAGGTTTGCTAGACCGTTGGCTATGACGTCGGTGTCGCGCGACTCTAGATGACGGTAAGGTCCTATGTCGAGGGAGAGCCGCACGTAAGCCACCACCAAAAGTGCGCTTGACGTGAAAGGGATAGGCCCGCTCTCGTTGTTGGGGTCGAGCATTGATTCTGGGGTCTGTTGCCAGAGAGACGTCCATGCGCGGAGTGCGCGGCCAATGACTTGCAGCTCTGCAGCTGAGATTGTTGCAGGTGATGTGGCGGGGAAGGAGAGCTCCCTGACTACATGAATCCGCTGAAGCAGTGCATGGAGAAGGATATAGTTGCCGATTGGGCTCGGAATTGGATGGACTAGTTCTGAAGTATGTTAATTCACGTTCGATAGCTCTTCCGATAGTAGCTTACCTTCATTTGTCGTTCCCTGCAAAAGTATCGACAACGCTTGCTGAAAGGGCATGTGATCCTCGCGTCCGTCGCGCTGTAGCGCAGCCCACTGTGCGGCACTACTAGCCTGCCAATCCGGTGTACAGCAAGGGAGTCGCAGATGAAGTTCGCTGCTCCAAAGCAGAGGATGGATGTTATATGCAATGCTATGCACGTTGATGTAACAAAAGGCCACGAGCTTTGTACGTCTGGATGACTCGCGCTGTACCCAATTATCCCACATCGCTGCTCTAGAGGTCGATATGTTCCTGGGCGGCTCCTCTTCTTTGAGACCAATATCTCGAAGTGACTGCACTAGAAGGCCTCGAAGTGCGAACGCTTGCTGAAGTAGGTCTTTCCTTTCCCACGTCGCAAACCCTACCAGGATCAGTAGGGTCTTCGCCATGTCCAAAGGCGACCACGGTCCTGTGCGTCTGCTAATGAAATGCGCTTCTGGCGAGCATATGTTCGTAGAAGCGATGAAGGAAAGAGTTTGTGGCCCGAAATGCGACTCTTCTTGTCGTAGGCGTTCGAAGACAATGGCTTTCGAGACACGAAAGAGACGTTCGGAGCTTCTTCGCTCGAAGCAGTACTGCGCTCCAGCAGCGCACATGGCCAGTGTCAACTCCAAAGGTGAACATGACGGTTTGTAAGTTGGCGCATGTATGAACGGGAAGTGCGAATGAAAGCCACCAAAGAACGCGGTAATATACCTAGTAAGGGTATGTCGGGAAGGGATCTGGAAGTCGGCGATGGGAGGAGCGAAGCTCTCAAGAAGCGACACCAGGAAGTTGCGATGCTCATCCGTTACGTTGTACGTTCCGTTTCTCGTTCTCTTCTCGCCATCCTGTGTGTTGGATCGCAAATGGACCTCATCGTCAGCTGGAGCTGATGGTAGCCATGTGCTGAAAGGCGTGCCGATGTCCTCTGCACCTGGGGAGGAAGGCTGATTTTCTGGTTCTCGGGAGTGTCGCCGAGATTCCTGACGAGGTTCTCCTAGTCGCATCCAGTCAAAGTCGTACTCAGGCGTCCATTGGGCGGATAGTCCAACACCATCGATGAAGTTTACAAAGTCACGGAAATCTTCAAACCCTTCGTCGCGATATGGCGGCGCCGGCTGGAGTTCTTGATAGGTGGGCGGAGGATGTTGCAAATCAAGCTGGCTTGCGTGGACCTGCGGGACGAGATGCGCTTCGACGGCCCCAGCGCTGGGGACGTTCAAAGCCGGTGCGTCTATTGTCGTCGCTGTTTCAGTCGACGTTGTCGACTCTGCATCAGGATTGCCAGCATGGTGCGTGATGCGCCAATGTCTAGTAAGCAGGTCACGCCGTGTGAACGCTTGTCCGCATCGACACGAGTACGGCTTCTCTCTAGTATCTATGCTGACATCAGTTCTGACGACGCCCTCATCGTGGAGTCACTTAGTTGAAGGCACGAACGTGTACGAGTATGGCGAATCAGATGCTCTGCTCGCTTGAAGCTCCTGGAGCAATGGGTACAAACGTGAGCGAGTCCGTGCATGTGGTGTGAGAATTGTTGGAGTTGGAGGTGAATTGGAGCGAGGTGGGTCTTGGTCTTTACTTCAAGGTTTTGCCCTCGGCCAATTATGTCTGCGGGGTAAATAGCGCCGTGGTTAGCGCAAGGCGTATCTTCGGAGTAGGTGGAACGCTTACTCCAAGATAGCGGAACTCGACGGGATGGCCGCCGAACGTCTCGCCGGTAGAACGTCGTGTCGGTAAGCTATCCCTTAACCAATCTTGAGTGCATTCATGCGTGCATCAAATCAATCAGTGAGCGCGTATCTCGGTAGATCACGCTTTCACCGCCACATGATAGCAGTATGGCATCGCTTGCAAGATTGCTCCCAGGTGTAGCCGTCATCACAGGCGCTGGAGGAACTGGTAGGTGGCTATCTTATGCGACGTTGAATTGCCATGCTCATGATGATCAGGCATTGGTGCGGCCGTAGCGAAGGGGTTCGCCCGTTCAGGCTGTTCGCGAATCGCCATCACCGACATCAACCCGAAGACGCTCGACCAGACCAGGGACGCTATCCTGCGCATTAATCCTTCCGCTCAGGTCTTCCAGCGAGCTGGCGACATCGCGGATGAGACGTTCGTCGACTCATTCAACGATGAGACCTTTTCCAAGTTCAAGAGGCTTGACTATGGGGTCAACTGTGCTGGTGTGCTCGGAGGCGATGTCATCAAAGCTGTAGAGATGACGACCGAACATTTTGATCGACTCAATGCTACCAACTACAAGGGGTCATGGCTTAGTTGCCGTGCGCAGCTGCGAAACATGTTAAAGCAGAAGCCGCTTGACGAGCATCCGAAGCAAAGAGGTTCTATTGTCAATATCGCTAGTCAGCTCGGCATCGTAGCAAGGCCGGGTGCTGGTAAGTTGATCGTGTCGTGACATGCAGGATCTCAACTAACGAGCGTTGTACAGCGGCATACTGCGCGTCAAAAGGTGCCATCATCAACATGACACGCGCGAATGCTATCGACTACTCCGATGATGGCATACGCGTGAACTGTGTTTGTCCTGGGGTTATTGAGACACCTATGACTACGACGTCGCCAGCTATGGTGGAAGCTTTGAAGCCTGCTATTGAGATAGCGCCTATGAAAAGGATGGGCACGCCGGAAGAAGTCGCTGATGCAGTGCTTTTCTTGTGTTCAGCGCAATCATCGTTCATCCAAGGCCATGCATTAGTTGTGGATGGTGGCTACACGATAAATTGATCGGAAAGATATCGCGATGACGAGACATATTGGTTGAAATAGCGAAGCCAATTTTCGGATATTTTGAATGACGACATATTCTACAGCTTCGTAGCATGCTTCGACTCTTGGTCTTGTCGCACGCCGATTTGTTTCCAGTCGTTTGCCGACTCCCAGGCAAAAGCCGCATCTAGTATTTTTTGTTCCTGCCAAAGGCCACCGACCAGCTGCATACCAACCGGTAAACTGACCTCAGGATCAACACCCGAAGGAGCAAAGCCTACGGGAAGTGACATGGCCGGATGCCCCGTTACATCAAAAATAGCGGTGTTGATGGTAATGCCCATACTTGGCTTCAGCGCGTCTATTGGCGCATTCTCCTCACGCTTCCAGTCTATATTGGGCGGTGCTACGAAAGGCGTTGTCGGCATAATGATAAGGTCGTACTCCTGAAACAGCTTCTCATACGCGTCGCGAAGCTGTTGGGCCACATTCATGGTTTTCGCGTAGAGGCCCGGGTAATTCTGCATCAGCGAGAGGCCGTTGATCATAGTATTCTTCGTAGATGGAAAGAGCTTTTGGAATGTTTCGTTCGTCCATGGTTGTCGCGCCGCTTCGTAGGCTGTTGAGAATAGTCCTCTCCGACCGTGCGCGTATCCCAACATGCTGAAGGTACCTGCGATCCGCTGTTGGATGGTCCAAATAGCTGGCCCTTCTAGGTGAAGGGGTAATGAGACCTCTTCGACAGTAGCACCTAGTTCTTCAAAGGACTGAACGGCTTTTCTCACGGTTGATTTGACGTCTTGGTTCACGAGACGGTGCTCGAAGCCTTCTTTAAGAATGCCAATCTTCATTGCTGCGACCGAGCTTTGAAGACGTTCTGCGTATCGCTCAGACCCATGGGTTGGCGCACCAAGTGTACGGTCATCATAGTCATCCCTTCCGCCGATTGCGTCAAGACACAAAGCAACGTCGCGAATTGATCTTGCTATGGGCCCAGCATGATCACTGACAGCGTCGCCACTGGATATACCAGTGTAAGGAACAAGTCCATGTGTTGGTTTTAGTCCAATACCTAGTGTAGATTGTCAGCTTCGCACTACATCATGATATGATACGCAACAGTCATGGTGTACTTACACCCACAGAATGATGATGGGACACGAATACTGCCGCCTTGATCAGCACCAATCGCGATATCTACCAAACCGCCACCGACTACTGCACAGCCACCAGACGTACTGCCACCCGCGGAGTACCCTCTCGCATACGGGTTGTGAACGGTACCTTGCGCTGAAGTGAATGACGATGTGGAGTTGCAGAAGTTTTCACATATGGTCGTCCCCACGATGTCAGCACCAGCATCTAATGTGCGGGTAACTACGGTGGCGTCGGAGTCGGGTGTCCATGCAGCGATGGCGTCTGTTCCAAAGAACTGTGGTACTCCGGCTACTGCAATGTTGTCTTTAAGACATACTGTCTTTCCTTGGAGGAGATGTCCTTGTGGGTTACCACGTATTTGGAACTTATGGGCCCAAGCATTGCCGAAATCTTGCTCTTCTGCCGATGGTCGGTGAATTCGTCCTCGCGGATATCTTTCGGTATCGGTAGGTGCTGTATAGTCGGGAAGTTGGAGTACATGCTCTGCCACATCGTGGACCGCCGCTAGCAATTGGTGGTAGTCCCGAGACTCGTGTGCTGGGATGCCATTACTGATGCCAATGCTTTGTAGTACTGATTCTGCGTCCCCAACCCGTACGAGATCCTCACTGTAATACCGTCAATATGCGCACAATCTCCATTTAAACAGTGAAGTATCTGGTACTGACCTTAGAGGCGAGTCGAAAAAGACAGACATGATGGTTACGTAGGTGCGGCTGTGTGAATTGGATACTACGATAGCTAAAGTCAATATAAGAGTTTGCTGAACGGTATACTCTGCCGCAAGACTTTGACCATATTCAGGTAGATGGGATGTCCTTACGTACCGTTTGACCAATGGTGAGCAAGTGGGTCGACGGTCCCACAAAACAAACTAAGAGATTACGCCTGAGGCTCTCCAAATGACCCCAACTCGTGGCGAACTCGATTCGATAACGTACCAGAAAGTACCCAGAACCTCGCGTTTTTGAGGGTCTGCATTGCTAAGTTTCATAATGTCAGACCAAAGTCCAAAAGACACGTAAAAGACACGTAAGATTCCAAGTCTGCTCGTAAGAACAAGCTCATCCCCGGCCGAACGGAGGCTTATCCTTTCATATTGATTACTAGTCGGCCTTTCATAGATGCATGCTGGTATCTTTCTATGAGGCTCGGTATCTCCGTAAAGCTCAAAACGGTCAAATGAGACGAGATGCCGTGCTTGGCTACGACCTTGAGCATGGACTCAACTTCCTCCGCACTAGCGACATAGCTGCCTTTTATGGTGAGCTCATGGAATACCATAGCTTCCGAGTCGAACTTCCAACTGTCTTTTGGTAAGCCGAGCGGAACCATAACACCGCCGTTGCCCAGTTGCTGAAGACACCACGCGTTGGCTGGTATCGAATCTGTGCATACTATGATGCCCGCGAGACCTTCGCCTGAAGTAAACTCTAGTATCTTCTCTTCGGCGTTCTTAGCGCTTGAGTCCATGACTAGATCAGGTCTCAAGTGGTCGGGCAAGTCGAGCGCAAGCTGACGGCCTTGTTCACGGTTGTCCATGGCTATCGTCCGGTAACCAAGGGCTTTGGCGAATTGTATTCCAAGCTGACCCAGACCCCCAACACCTACAATGGCTACGGCATCGCCTGGTTGAACCTGGGGACTAAGCTTTCGCAATGCGCCCCATACTGTCGCCTTTCATGCTATTAGCAATGATGTCGCGCAAACGATTTCGACCAAAGGTGGACCTACGCCAGCGCACATCAAAGGCGCTCCCTGTTCGAAGGAAACTTCATCAGGGAGGTGCACAGTAGTATTAGGATCTGCCAGCATGTAGTCGGCAAATGCGCCGTCGTGTTTGAAGCCAGCTACAATCCTGTTCTGGCAGAAGCGAGGATCAGGACGTTTCGCTCGTCTTCCGTGCTGTCGACATCCTGCGCATTGTCCACAAGGATTCTTGTAGTTGAGAACGCCAACGCGATCTCCAACTTTCCATGAGCCCTGCACTTTCGCGCCAATCTGTACAATCTTTCCAGCCGGCTCGTGCGATGGTATCATGGGAAGGGCCGCCGGAAATTGACCATTCCAAACCTGAAGGTCCGAGTGACAGAAGCCGGCTGCGTAAACTTCGACAAGAAGATCATTGTCTCCGCATTGAGGTACAGCTCGCTCACATAGCTGATACGGTTTCTCATACTGATGGAATTTGTTAGATACGATTCGAGGTGTTTCATGACGTCATCATACCTTTACGATCTGTGCTGCGCGCATCTTATCAGACATGTTCGTAATTGACCATGGATGTACTCAAAGGTGCGCGCCGCGTTACTACACTCAACACCCTGCTCATCGTCATCGCGACTTCATGCGAACGCGTCTTGGAGAGCGTAGGACCGTTTTCGGATGTTGTTGGAGACAAGATTTGGAGGTGGTTGGGGTCGACGATAAGGCCAAGCGAGGGGCAGCTGCGGAGGCAGGGGCAGCTGGCAGCTGGCGCATCCCATGACGAAATAGACAAGCGCGCCGTCGGTCCAGCATCATTCCATCCCACTTACCCCGCCATAGCTCTCAGGTTCGGCATCATGGCATTAAGAAGAAGTAGTCCCGTGCGGGTAGTTTGGTCTGACTGTTCCCACACGAATCCGTCCGACTGATAGCTCTTCGTTTGATCCAATTGACAACCTCATCCACTCATCATTTCCCATACAATACAGCTATCATGGGCAAGAAGCGCGTTCTCATCTCGTACGGTGTTGATGTAGATGCGGTATGTGGATGGCTTGGGTCGTATGGCGGAGAAGACAGCACCAGCGACATATCGCGTGGTCTGTTTGCTGGCACGGTTGGAACGCAGCGCCTCTTGAAGATGTTCAAGAAATACGACATCAAGACTACATGGTTCATTCCAGGTCATAGTCTCGAGACATTTCCGGAAGACATGGCAGCAGTACGCGATGCAGGACATGAAATAGGCCTCCACGGTTACAGTCACGAGAACCCCTCCGATATGAGCATGGAACAGCAACACCACGTGCTAGACAAGACTTACCGCATGTTGACTGAGTTTGCTGGCAAGCCTCCCCGAGGAAGCGTTGCGCCATGGTAATACTCCGAAGACCACCGCTGGAGACAGTACGCTGACTATCTCGGTAGGTGGGAAACAAGCCGCGAAGGTGCCGAACTGCTGCTCTCATACGGTATCGAGTACGATCACAGCATGAGCCACCACGACTGTCAACCTTACTATCTGAGAACTGGAGATACCTGGACCAAGATCGATTATAAGAAGAAGGCCAAGGACTGGATGAAGCCACTCGTTGCAGGTCAACAGACTGGCCTAGTTGAAATCCCAGCAAACTGGTATCTTGACGTAAGTACGACTTACTACGCGCTGATACATCGCTCACACTGAATGTTAGGACTTGCCACCTCATATGTTCATCAAGGCTTCGAAGAACAGCCATGGCTTCGTGAATGCGCGAGATACCGAGGACCTATGGAGGGACCATTTCGACTACTTCTACCGCGAATACGACGAGTTCATCTTTGTAAGTATCCCGAACTGCCTGAAGGACTCGTCTAACACTCTTGCAGCCCATCACAATCCACCCTGATGTTTCTGGACGACCACATCTGCTGCTAATGCATGAGAGGTTGATCGAGCACTTCAAGAAGCACGAGGGTGTTGAGTTTGTGACGATGGAGGAGATGGCGGATGAGTTCAGGAAGAAGAACCCCCCGCCCAAGGGAGCGCTCATGCCATCTGAAGCGGGACTCAAGTTGAAGGAGTCCCCGATTAACTAAACAATTTGATGTCATTTTTTATTTTCCGACTTTGCTTTTTCCGCAGATCGTCTTTTGCAGATGGTAGCGAAGACGCAACGCAGCAGTGCCTAATGCGAACTACGAGCTAGCTGTCACTAGCAGGCCAGAGACAACATCACCACTAGCCCGTGGCATCTACAGTACGGTCAGATCACGAACATGCGCCACCTAGCTCCGCATGAACGCCGTTCTAGAAGCCAGCCCCGCGCAGGAACCGCCGTCATACGCAGCCACCGGCAACTGCCAAACGAGCCACTGCAGGGTGAACGCTAACAACACCCCACCCAGCAATCGGGCATATCCACCGCCTCCAACCCCCTCCCAGCTCCCAAGCTATGCAGCATCCACGCGCCGCACCAAGCCCTCCGCTGCTCATCTCCGCAATCAGTTGGAGTAACGATGATCCCCAGGCGACCCTTCCCTCCAACCGGGGTAACCATTGGAGGCACCCCTGCGCCTGAATCGCGTAGCCGATGGAGACGCCCGCATCGCTCTCTCGCCACTATCAACCTCCAAAACAACGGGGCAGAGCGGGCTGGCAAGATCCACTCCTGCCCCGGATTCTGAGAGATACCGCGTTGGCGTGCTGATTACCACGCGGGTTATCAACGTTCTACCAGGGCACCTGCATCTGGCAAGGATAGGGCCGTTGCGTGGCATGCGTACATGAACGGATATATATACAGTGACCCAAGTACCGATACTTGAAGAGTTGAACAACTGTTCGTTACTCAATCTGGGTCGACAGCACAACTACTTGACGGCATCGCCATCATGTCGGCTGAAAAGCAAGACGATGTCATTGCGCCCGCACCGAGCACCAGCTCCGAGAGCATCAACGGGAAGGTTGACCTCGAGAACGACGGCGAGATCTTCAAGCGAGGAGAAGGATACGAGGACTTCCGAACGGTGTCCTGGGTTCACACCGCAGTTATCTTCTTGAAGCGTAAGTAATGGCCTTCTCCAGTTCACGACCATTCTGCTAACGATCATCGCCATATAGTCATCTTTGCGACAGGAGTCCTTACAATCCCCAGCGCAATGTACACGCTCGGCGCCTTCCCCGGCGCCATCAACGTGCTCGGCTGGCAAGCCCTCAACACCTGGTGCGCCCTCGTGCAAGGCCAATTTCGGAACAACCATCCAGGCTGTCATTCCATCGCCGATATGGGCCAACTAGTCGGTGGCCGTATTGTCAAAGAAATCACCGGCGTCCTTTTCCTCGTCGCGTTCATCATCGTCGCGGCATCAGGTATAGTGGGTGTATCGACAGCACTAAACGCGCTATCCAACCACTCCCTCTGCACAAACTACTTCTCCATCATCGCAGCGATTATGGTGGGCACGTGTGCGAGTGTACGCAAGTTTGAGAAGATTGCTTGGGTTACGTGGGCGGGATTCATTTCTGTTTTCGTCGCTGTCTTCATCGTCGTGTAAGTTTTCCAATCCTTCTCCAGCCCTCAAGACCACATATCTAACCCATCCCAACAGCGTCGGAGTAACAACCCTCGACCGCCCTGCCGCAGCCCCCCAATCCGGGCCCTACGAATTCGGCTACCACGTAATCGGCCACCCGACCTTCGCCGCAGGCATCACAGCCGCCAGCACAATCTTCTGTTCCGGCGCGGGTACCTCCGCCTTCCTACCCGTCATGTCCGAGATGCGCAACCCGCGCGAATTCAGCAAAGCCGTAAACTGGTGCATGGGCCTCGTGACCGCCGCGTACCTCTCCTTCAGCCTTGTCGTGTACAAGTGGTGCGGGAAATGGGTTGCATCGCCTTCTCTTGGCAGCGCAGGACCCATGGTGAAGAAAGTTGCGTACGGCATTGGTCTTATTGGACTTTGTGTCAGTGGCGCTTTGTATGTGCATGTTAGTGCGAAGTACATCTTCGTCCGCATACTGAGGAACTCGAAACATCTTCAGGCGAATTCGCCGGTTCATTGGGGTACCTGGCTTGGTTGCGTTACGGGTATGACGGTTGTCAGCTTCTTGATCGCGTCCGGTGTGCCCATCTTCAACTATCTGCTTAGTCTGGCGGGTAGTGTGGCGTTTGCGCCGTTGGCGCTGGGTCTGCCTGGGTGGCTGTGGATCTACGACCACCAGGGCTACTGGAAGGGGAACTGGTGGCAGAAGATCATGTATGCGCTGCATGTTATCTTGATCGGTATTTCGGTCTTCCTGACGATCGGAGGCACGTATGGCGTCATCGTCCAGATCATGGACGCGTACAAGGATGGGTCGATTGATTCGGCTTTCTCGTGCGCGGACAACAGTAACTCGTCGTAGGTGGTTTTCTATTTGCTAGTTAGACATGGTTTGAGAGATACCCTCGGTCAGTACCGTAATGAAGATGATCATATAATTGCAAACATGTCTACATTTCATTCACTTTCGTCGGTAAACTCTGCTATCTTCGCGCCAAGAGGGTCGATCGTAATGGCTAGGACACTACATCCTACTCAAACGACCGGCTTCTCCTCTGGTATCAGGCCCACCATCTCAAGCATCCAGGCCGTGGAGTTGATCAACCCGTAGAAGAGCATTGGTATCACCTGCGAAGATGTCAGTACACAAACTACGAAAATGCGCTTGGTTGTTGCTTACCCCGAAGAACAAGTTGCCGAGAATGCCTCTGCGAAGAATAGTTTCTGCCAACTCAGTCTTCGTGATACTAGGAGCAACATCACTCTTGAAAGGCCCGACAAGCCTGTAAAACGTAACGAAGCTTGCTCCAAAGCAGTAGACCAGGAGCACCTTCAACCCGTGCGCCATGTAAAGTTCGCGCAACCTGGGAGCGCCACCAAAGTCCTTCGCTAGAGTGCTCATGTACGCGCTGTGATCAACACCGTACTTGATGCGCGATGTCTCTTTGGCCAGGAGATGGTAGTGTGGGGGATCGGTAGGCATGGCCATTTGATTGGTGATGAGCGCTGTCCACCACATGGCCTGTTGTTCAGCGATGGGAGGGATGGCGCCAACACCAGGTCGTACAAAGCCGATGAAGGATATGCTAGGATCTACTGGCGATACGATGTTGCGAATGGTGGCATCGGCTGCTGTGGGGTATGATGGGTCGAGGAAGTAGAAGGACTGCTTGTAGCCGGTGCAGTAGACTACGCAGTTGGGTCGTACTTCCGTGTCCTTCATGCGTCTCCAGTCTTTACGATCGGGGCGCTTCTCGAATATCACTCTTCCGGTCTCGTCTATGCGCTCCGGGAATGTGCATGTGTCTACCCATTTCTTTGACTGCGCGTCTTCGGGTGGGTCTACGTAGCCGTTGCCGAGGAAGGCGAGAGGGTGGCTCTCTTTGTAGGGCCGGTTTAGATATGGCATCGCTTTGCTGCTCTTGTTCAGAAACACAAAAGCTCTGCCTAGTCTGTCGTGTGGTAGTGCGCCGACGTGTTGACTGTATTGGGTTAGCGTGTGCCCATTCGCTATGATGAGATGGAAGCTCACTTCATGCCCGCCTGTGTGCCAGTCAAGAACCACAACACACGCTTGATAACAAAGTCCGATACAAACCATCGGAATCGACTCGCAGCTATCGCGCGATGCACGTAGGCTGTCTCGAAGAGGTTGGTGATGAGACCGTCGATAGGCAGACCTCCTTTGAACTGCTTGCCGAAGACCTTGAAACGTGAGAGAGCCTTTGGGAAAGAAAGGAAGCCCGTTCTGAAGCACATGGTGACTGAATTCGCATCACCCTTCATGGCTTCGTAAGCGATATCTACGCACGTTAGCAGATGCGCATTCTTCTATCCTCGTACAGCATACCCATGGCAGTCTCTCCACAGCCCATGATGAGCACATCTTTGCCTGTTAGCTGTGCTCGCTTCTTGTACTGTGAAGAGTGGAAAGCTTCTCCTTTTACATTCTCGATGCCAGGGATATTGGGAATGTTGGGCTCGACGTGCAGTCCAGTACAGATAGCGACGTGTGAACAATCGAATGTGCGCTCCTCTCCGTCGCTGTTCTTATCGACGTATCTGACACGGTGCTTCCACTTCCGATCGATCGACTTCGATATAGGCTCGATTTTGTTGACTCTGCAGCCCATCTTCATGAGCGGCTGTAGGTCAAACTTGTCCACGTAGTCCTGCAAGTAGTCGACATATTGTGGAAGCGAAATGTGGTCTGGTGCTGACACGGGGAAGCGGTGGTCGGAGAAGGTGGTCAGTTGCTTTGAAGATACCAACTCGGCGTTCTCATAAGCACGGTAGTGGAATGTGCCTCCGATATTGTCTTCGCTGGAGGGTGTTAGGTTATGTGATGGTAAACCCGCTCGGGGCTGAGTGGAGTATGCCTACGCCTCGAACAAAACAGCCTCTATCGGCCGATCAGGTGTCGATGCCTCAAGCAGTGTCTTAAGAGTCGTCAGTCCACCAGGACTTCCACCGTGTTAGCATGTGATGAGTTTTGTTGAGAGAGTGGCGTACCCAGCCCCAATGACGGCGACTCGCATCGCAGGAAGCTTGTCGGTGCCTGCCATTTCCACGATCAATCAAGAAACGATATCTACAACGTCTACAGGAAAGTGATGTTCTAGAGTCTAGAGTTACATCTCGTGTGGCCACTGCTGGATGTCGCATGCAAGGGACGCGTCGGCGATATTCCCTCAACCAATCAAAACGTTCAATCTAAAGGATGACATCAAGACAGGACGCGCGACTCCCGACGGGCACATGTTCTTCCATGCACTTTGCTCCATTTGAGCCTAGCCCCGGGGACGATGCCGTGCCAATTGATGTTTGCTATCAAATTGGGTAGAGACGGACGATGCCTGTTCTGAGACTGCTGCGGGCCTGCAGCCGAGGACATGCGACGATTTGCACGTCATGCCCTAAATATCAACACCATAGCTCCACACCGCTGACGTCCACGACTACCTCAGCATGGAGCAGCCACGCGAGAAGGTCGCAATAATAGGCTCTGGCCTGGCTGGATTGGTTAGCGCGAACCTGTTGTTCCACGATGTGCGCCAGCGATATGCCGTCAGGGTCTTCGAGTCGGTAGGCCGCCTAACACCCACTCTATCCGCGACTGTACTCACAAAAGTAATTCTAGGGCAAAACGCTCTCCCTAGACGCCGCCTCCATCTCCATCCCCGATGCAGCCACCGACGCCTCCACCCGCGTGGACCTGCCCATGCGCGCGTTTGCGGGCGGCTACTACAACAACCTCAAGGCCCTGTACGACTACCTGCGCATCGATTACAACTCCCAGCCCTTCCTCTTCGAATTCGCGAAATGCCGCGATGCGAGCCCCGAGGCCTTAGCGACTGGCCGTCGCGATACGTCGTATTTCACACATGCGTCGAATCTCCACCAGATAGCGCCCCGACCGAGTAGAGTCAGCAGGTCCTCGTACCTGATGCAATGGCTATATTTGACGCTTGCCTACTCGTGGTTCGCGCTCTGCTGCTTCTTCTTCGAACCTAGACGAGGCGAGACTATGCAGCAGTACCTGGACCGCACATATTGCCCGACCTACTTCGTTACCTACTACCTACTCCCTCTCTTATCGAGCGTATCCACCTGTCCACACGAGTCGCTACTCGCCTTTCCCGCCAGCGATATCATCGAGTACAAGCGGAGGAGCCACGGCGCACCGCACTATACTGTATCAGATGGCGTGGGTGGGGTACAAGACCGCCTGGTCAAGGGTATCGACGTTACTCTCGAGGCTACCGTCACGGCCGTAGAACCCTCTGAAAAGGGCGTTCGGATAACCTGGTCTCAGGGCGGGTCAGACGGCCACAAAACGGAATTGTTTGACAAAGTCATCCTTGCAGTCGCCCCAGACGTCGTCGGCCGTGTCTTCAGACCCCTCCAACACCACATGCAGCGCATACCGACTGCAGTCGTAGAAAGTGTAGTTCACACGGATTGGGCGGTCTTACACGGTAGCGACGCCAGGCACGTCCATAAGAAAGGCGCGCAGCTCATCCACCTCAATACGGCAACCTCCGGTACGCACACAACCGAATCGCATCATGTCCAACCATGTGGCGTCGTAGTAACCACTTGCCCATGCACTCCTCTCGATGAGAAATGCGTTGCTCAGCGGAGCCGGTTCACGCGCGTTCTTCGCAGCCCGGAGAGCCAGCGCATCGTTAATGCCATCTTTGATAAGCGCTCGAACTTCGACACAGATGACAAGTCAGTGCCACAGTGGAGGAATGGCGAGGACAATGTGTGGCTCGTGGGCGGCTGGTGCTGGGACGGTATGGTCCTCTTGGAAGGCTGCGTTGTCTCGGCCATGCGAGTGGCTGATGCGTTCGACGTTGCGGTGCCCTGGAGGCATCAGTAGTTCATGAAGACAAGCGTATTCGGACTCGGACTGTGACGCATGAAGCATCCTCTTGCCTCTAGTCCTTTCGTAGCCTTGCAGGCAATCCAATAGAGTAGATACCCGGGCAAGACAACATGCCCATAGCATCCTAGGACTCAGGAAGTGATGTAGGCGATTCAAAGTGTTTGAACGAAAGTGAAAGTATTCGGGATTGAGGGTTCTAGGATGCGACTTCCTGTTGTGTGTATCATATGGCGTCTCGTCATACATTTTCGCCGGAAACGGCTAGCGTCGTTGCCTCGTTGAAGCTTCCCGCGAAATCTCCCAAGCACCCGGCCCTGCGTCGCACCAATCACTACCACACGCCAAACAAATGTCCGCTACCCAGATACTCGGCGCAGGGCTGGCGGCCCTACTGTTTTGGCTGATGATGAGAGCGCGGGGGGCTCAAGAAGACAAGGCTTCAGTTTACGGGTTGCAGCATGGGCGGCTACATCTGCAGCTTCCCACAGCCATGTGGATGAACATGGGGTATTGGAAGAACGCCACCACTTCAACGACATTAAGCGAAGCCTGTCGAGACATGCTGAACGTAATCCTTGCTGAGGCCGGCCTTTCAAGCGACAAAGGCCCAGCAGCACGGAGAAGAGCCTTGGTGGATCTGGGCTTCGGATGCGGGGACCAAACCATCTATCTCATGAGCAAGGAACCTATTCGAGCGTGCGACAAAGACTGGTGGGATGAAAGAGATCGGTGCGCCACATTCCATGATTACATTGGCATCACGAAAGATGCAGTGCAGGCTCGATACGCCTCGGAGCGACTTGCCGAGCTCAAGAAGAATACGACGAAGGCGGTATCTCCTGAGATGGAAGATGGTGGAAACCCCACGATATCTCTCTTCTGTGCCGACGCGTCGAAACCCAAGTCCTGGAACCAACAGATGCAAACAAAGTTGCAGCTTGCGAAGGACGATACAGAAGAGCGTTGGGTGTTGGCACTAGACACAGCATATCACTTCGCCCCCTCACGCTGGCCCATCATTGAGTACGCTCACTCAGAGCTAGAAGCAAACTGGATGGCCTTTGATCTATGTCTCTCTCCTACCGCTACATGGGCCCAGAGGATGACGCTTCGCCTTCTCACTGCCCTCATGGGTGCGCCCTGGGCGAACTTCACCACACCACAAGGGTACCGCGAGAGGCTGGAGCAGATAGGATACAACCCTGAAGCCATCACCACCACTGACATCTCAGAACATGTGTTCGCGCCACTGGCAGCATTCCTGAAAGAGCAGGACGACAGGCTCAAGATGTTAGGATTAGGCTTAGGTCGCTTTGGTGTCGCGAAAGCCATGTTCGGCTGGTGGGGGCGGACCGGAGTTGTGCGTGGCGTAGTAGTGGTCGCGAAGAAATGAGTTGTATGTCGGTTATACGACATCTAACCTCGCCTGGACCCTTTACCGGTGTGGTGGGAGGCCTGAAGTCAGCCCTGTAAGGCTGAGGTGGAAATAAGACACCAGCACTTGCCGCGAAAAGTGTACGCGTTGGGCGACCCTCTGCGAGTTTGCGCCATGATGTCTCATTGACTAATCTTTGGGCTGGCCTTTGAATAGGTTCACAAGGGTTTGGCACTGCGTTTGGTATACAAGCATGCCTCCCTCTGGAGCCCCTGTGCGACGATGGTGGAGGATCGCATTCCCTCGTGCCGACATCCGCTCTTAGCCCCCAACTTCAATACAAACTGCACGCCAAGACAAGAGCCAAGACGGCGCAGTCGAGTTACGCGCTGTCAGACGATAACATCCGCATGCTTTATTAAATCTACGCTACATCCCTTACAGCGGGAATCTTGACTCCCCATCTTCCCTAACGGCGGATCGATCACACCAAACATGGAGCAACGGGAGTCGCATGAGATGCACAGCGTCAGAGAGGAGACCAGACAAGCAAACGCGGGTGCACCCAAGGTCCCGGAAACTACTCACGAGCCCATGTACACGTCCAGGCTGTCGAGAGCGTCTTCCATGACCGTTCGCGAGCCCATCGTCAGGACCCTGCACACTTCGTTCTGGCCGCTGATGGTCTTCATCTTTTATGCGACACTCGCCCTATTCACCTGGATCGTTTTTTGTCTCGCGAGAAACCGGCCGATCGGAAGCAAGCAAGACTATACGAACGCGCAAAAGTATCCAATCACCATAGACGAGTTGCTTGCTACCTTGTCTAAACACGAGAAGGCCCTCAGGGCGGCGCAGATCCTACAAGTGGTAGTCGCTCTACTCACCATTCCCATCACTTCCGCGATATGTTCCATGGCTCTAGCTGCATACGTGCAGGCCGCAAGCCTAAGAACGAAGTTGAACCTCCGTCAGGCTATGGCGCTAGCGGACCAAGGCTGGATCAGCCCACGTACATGGACTAGGTGGTCTAAAGTTGGAAGTCTTCCATTGTACTCCGCCTTTGCATTGACCTTAGTGGGTGAGTCATGCCCAGATCTTGGCAGGAAGCCGGCGTTGACTCGAATACAGGTGCTGTCTTCCCGATTCTGCAGACAACGTTTATCCAGGTTACTCCGACACGAATACCAACTCGCAGCACACAGTCCGGTCTGATTAGGGTCGCTGATATACCTGCTCTAATCAGCAGCACCAACAATGACATAAATACAGCAGTTGTTCGACTCCGTAGCATTCTAGAATCGCGCGCGGAAAGAGAACATGAGCCTTACCTCTGGATCGATGAACAGAAGGATGGACTGGATAATGACATGTGTTACGATACATTCAGTGCGGCCACCAATTGTAACCGCTTCTCGAGAAGTCTTTATCAACTTGATGAGATGAGCTTAGATGCCTGGTTCTCACCCGTTCCCTTGGGCTTCAGCACCGGTGTCTATGTTGACCCTCAGTACGCACCGCGCCTCAATACCACAATTGAATACAGGAACATGACAGACGCTGAGTGGCCAACCGAATGCGTTCGCGACAGAGAAGATGCATTTTTCGCACAATACCGTGGAGGAGAGACGGGATACCGGGAGTTCGATATAATAGCTTGCATACCCGCCAATATCTCTGGCACGCCTTGGCAAGCTACGTACAACCGGCAGGACATTACCGAGGATCTTTTCCTCGCAATTTCGGTGCCTTCAATGTTACGCACTCCTGTTATGTGGAAAATCACCGCCCGTTCGACGTTAGGCTACTTCGAACTTCCTAATACCAAGAACGGCAATCGCGCCGGGCCGTTACTCGATAAGCTATCCTTGGACAGCGCTAGAGGCTCTTCAACCAGCGGATCCAGTCGAGATGAGAAACGAGCAACCAACGAAACATACGCAGGAAATGTGAGACAACCCATTGGAAATCACATCGGTCCGCTGACTGCTATTGGACTGGCACTATTCGGCGAAGGCTCTTTCATCGAGAGAAGAGTTTCAAATCCATCCGCCTTCCTTGTAGATCGGCCTGAGGTCGATGATGAAGTATGGTTCAGAAACTTCGGCAACAACTGCCTCGGGAATATGCCTCTCAACTTTGCCATAGGGGGCCCGTGCCTCCGCGACTACGACTACCAGTCCGAAGTCGACGTCCTTGGCCGCGTGAGACAACTAGCCGCATTCTTTGATTCGGAACGTTCTGCAAGTAGGGCGTTCACTGTGGCCGCTTTCCTCGCCAACAAGGAGTGGCTGAACCCGAGCCAATTCCACAGATGGGGAGGATTCGACCAATCGCGGAATGTATATGTCGATACGGGCGTTCCAACCAAGAAGACATATATCGCGCTTTGGGGGGTCATCACCGGGTCCGTTTTCCTCGGCCTCCACCTTCTCGGGTTACTAGTGCTTGCCCTGTACGCCTTTTGGATGAGGCCATTCACGCCTTGGTTGGGTGCAGAATTCGTTGTCAAGGCTGGTACGGCACATGCCGATATTCTGAGCGCTGCCGAAGGGGACAAGCAGTGGAAGCAGACTGTTGCTGCGTGCCCAGGGTTCGTCGGGGACGAGAAACCCACGGATGATGTGGGTCGTATCGCATTTGGCGCTACTGCTGCCTTGAGCAGAACACGGGGCAAGAAGTTTGAGGAGCTATAGTGTGTGTGTGCGTGTAATTCTAATAGATCGGGTTCATTGTTGATGCGGAAGTTTTGCCCGCACCTCGTCCATGGAAGAAAACGAACAGAAATCCCGCAGCCCACAATGGTATCGAATCGAAAGTCCGCGAAACCTCAGCGCAGTAGAGGCTTCTAGGCTTCCCTGGTATGTGATGAATGCGGCTTTGTTCCATAGGCCCGTCAATGTACTTGAGTCACAGCTGTCTGAAAATCTAAGGTTCGGCATGGCGCTCCGGCGAACAATGCGCGATCATGCGCTCCTGATAGTACGGAACCACCACTCCTGAGGTCTCCAAGGTCAGCAAACCCACTCATTACCCACGGCCAGTGTGGGTCACAGATAGCTTTCCAACTCAATAATTAACTCAGTACCAACGTGCTGTGTGAGTCACAGAGACGCTTCCAACTCAATAAATAGTGCTCTGTCCCTCTCTTCTCTCCATTATCCTTTCTTCATCAAACATCACTTCCAAAGTCCAAATCCGAAGAAAGTTTTACCATACCATCCCAACCATCTTCAAACACTATTACCAACACTGCCACCACACCTACCAACACAACCTCACCACACTACAACAAACATGTCTTCAACCACACCTGTCTACGCCTGCAAGGCCGACTTCATCGCTGCGGGTATGTCTCCTTACCTCCTGCCCGCCAGCGAACAAGACACGTGCAGCATCTGCACCAAAGACTTGGCCTGCGAGAACCCCTCGGCCACCAAGCTCACCGCCGCCGACAAAGAAGTCCTTGAATTGGCTTTACAATACCCAGCCGACACAATTGTCTTCAAGTCAAGTTGGCTCAAATCCACAAAGCCTCTTCACAGCCACCACACCAATGAAGAGCAACTAGTGTCAAAGCTAAACGCCTGCGGTCACGTGTTTGGCACCAACTGCATCATGACTTGGTTTGAGAGGTGCAACACTTGTCCTATGTGTAGGAAAGTACTGTTCCCAACATGGGTACAGGAAGAGATGGAGAGGGAGAGGGTGGAGAGGGAGGAGGAGGCGAGCAGGAGGTTTTGGGGGTGGGTAGAACCTGCTTGGTGAGTACTAGCATTTCACTGCACCGATGCAGAAGAAAGCGACGACCCCCTGGGGTGGTTTTGGCGTTTGGGTTTTTTGGGTGTTGGGGTCGTGAAGGGTGACGCGCACCGTTATGAAGTTTGCCTGGGCTGGGTCAGAAGTCTTTGAATACCTCCTGGGGTGGTTTTGGCGTTGGCGTCTATCGGTTTTCACGGTTGCGAATGCCTCCGCGCATGGTCGTACCGTATAGTTTCTGTAGTTCCGAATGCATTGTCTCTCATTCAAATTACGTTCTCCCCGGTCCCCAATCACATGTGACAGCACCAGATAAGCCCACCCCACGTGATACCACCTCCCTCCCTCCTATTGCCCTGCATATGACACGCAGAGGACCGCATTACTGCCCGAACCTTAGCCCGATGACTTCATCCAATATACAACCTGCGACGTCACCTCTAGGATTTTAGGCCGAAAGAGCTGCAGGATCGTATGATCGGAGCGAGATATACCCCAGATGCGGGTTTATCTCTTAGCTAATTCTAGAATACATCTTTGCGGTAACTCTCCCGTTGCACGCGTGTGCATTTGCGGTGTCATGTCGGAGATTTATTTCGGAGGACCGATCGGGCCGCTGTGGAAAGGAAAAAGAGAGGGCGGCGTCCTTTAATATGTGTAGTGTTGAGCATGACGGCAGGACTGTTGAGAAAGAAGGTTAGAGTATATAGCAGGCATGGATGCTGTCTCAACGTGCGCCGCCGATTTCGAGAAGCAAAGTTACAATCTTGTTAGACTTGTTGGTAGGTGGAGTTTGTGTTCTAGGTCACGATAGAAGGGCGCCACCTCGCTTGTGCCGGAACCATGACCTGGCAGACCACGCGACGAAGAACGGCCGACGCGGCGGGCTTGTTTCAGTTCGCGGTGATGAGCATGGGGGCTGCGTGATCGATAGGGGAAGCCAACCGTCGCCTCGGGGGTGTTCAGCTTCGGCAACCCCGCACGTCGTGATGCAGACATATGCGCGGATCGCCCATAGCGTTGAGTTACTTTTCTTTTGCTAACCGATCGCCTCGAGGGAAGTGAAACTATCATCACGAAACCTACCAGAATACGGCAAAGGATTGCCAGCTTGCTATATTGCTTTTTGTCTGCAATAGCTCATGCTAGCCGCATCAGTGCCCCGGAAGCGCAAGCCCCCATGAACGGAGGGCCTGCTGGTGTGGTAGCTTTCATTGGGTCACAGGTATATGGCTGGCAGGGATGCATGCAGGTTAGCC